TTTTTTTCTCTTTTCTGAGTTTAAACTTGTTGGTTTACTGTAAAGCTGCTTTGAGACAATGTCGGTTGTGAAAAGCGCTATATAAATAAATGAACTTGAACTTCAATATCGAATCAATATAAGTACTGCTCATTTCATCTCAGGAAGCTGCTTGTCTGAGAAATCCAGAAGCACCATCAGACTATCTGTGACGTCAAATGGGTTTTAATAACTTGGCAGTGAGTGAAGAACATTCAGTTTGGGCTCAAGATCATAGCAAATCTTTCCTCAACAGAAAACTTGGCTTTCCACGCGCAGTCTTTAGGGTGAGCTGTCCTCACAGAGATCAAATTGGATTGTGAGTTCAGGACAAGTGTGTTTTCCTCGTCTCTGTAGTTATGATGAACACAGACATGCTGCCAAGAGAGCACTGCCAAACAGCTGGACTTTCTCTCGTCTTGTGAAAAACAGCAAGATTCACTTGGACCAAATATCAAATTCATGCTCAAATTAATCACCATCAAATGTGATTTATCTTTTATACAAATTAAAGAGTGCTGAAGGATCTGCAGTGCTCACCAACACCTGGACATTCACAGAATGCATTTTAGTGCTGGATTAAAAATATTCCTTTACAGATTTTTACTATTAATTCTTACTTGGTGGGTCTTATGAATTGTTTGCTACTACTTAATACACTGGTTTTACCCAGACAACAATAGCAAATAAATATAGATTATACACACAAGTGGATATCCAAGTATTTTTTTTACTTAAGTAAAAAAAGTGGAATTCTGATAATGTACTAAAAATCACAATGAACCTCACAAAAATTCACAAGATTTGTCTGTAGTCTCATGGGTCTAAAAAAGTTAGTAAATCTGTTTTAGCACCAAGTTTTCAAAACTGATGCAATTTCTTTTGAAAGTCAATGAGTTGACTGATGAATGCACATAAACTTTGATGGAAGTTTATTTACTGAATAAAAACCCAATGCAATGGCAAAGCATTTTTTTTCTGTTAGAACTTGGGTGTGATGATGCACAAAATGTAACAAAATGTTCCAATTCCATTGTACACCATCTGAAATGTTGTTAATCTTGATTGGCTGCTTTCACAAAAAGCAGTCTCCCTCCTCGAAAAGCAAGTTGACATGACAGCGCATATTATGTTTCATCTATGCAAGTAAGTCATTATATATTAATTAAGGCCTTCTCATAATGCCGCAACTTTCATTTTCCTTTGGATATTTGCGCCAGTTTATCAGGAAGTAAAGATTTGTTCTCTTGTACTTGATGGATGCAAATGGTACTTTATTCGCAAATATTTAATGTGATATTCCAGTTTTCCACCGAAATTTATTTGCATCTTTGAATAAAAACATGGCTATTGACACAAAAATATGTTTATATTCACCCTTTTACACATATAAACATATAATATCCTGCTGGAAATGAATGATCTGTGCTAATACTCAGTTAATAAAACATTTCAGCCAATATTGATCAAAGTGTGGCAGTAAAATATATTTTTCTCACATTTCCAAACCATGTATCAGTTGGCAAATGCAACTTTGGCAGAATTTAGAATTTAGTCAAAATGTAGCACAAATTGAATAGATATATTGAATTAAATATTGAATATATTTGCATGTGTCAGTGAATTTTGACAATATTAGTTTGTTGAATTGAATGCTAGAATGTAAATGAACTAAACATTACTGAGTAAATCCTAAGTAAAAACTTTTTAAATCAGTGTTTTGAATGAGATGATTGATATTTTGTTAACTTAATAATGCACATGTCGAAGCAAATAAAATTATAAAACAATGCCTTTATTTTTAAATTCATTTTAGATCATGTTTTAACAACTATTGGACTAAAATAATTATAAAATAAACAAAAACCTTGGTTTTTCACTTAAAGGCTGAACCATTTTATAAAATATTTTTATTATATAACCAATAATGGTAAATGATCAGTTCCGTTTAGTTTTTGACGTAACACTTCTACCAGTTTTAGCATTATATGTCTCATCACTAACAAGTTTAGCATCACGTAAATGAACTTCACACAAATCTGCTGCTAGAGTACGGAGGGCTTTTTTCTTAAACAGTCTCCACAAGCAACAAAGCCCTATACAGAGATGCCAACCACAGAGAGTTTCTCAGAGAGCTTGTATTTCCTCCCTGGCAGCTCATCAAATTGACCAATGGCATTTTCGAACACCTCAAGCCAGAGCTTCTGGGGCAATCTAGCAGCAGGGTGGTGGGATAGGGAAAAAAGACGTACAGAGAGTTTTGTAGCAAACATTTTAAAAAGTGCTTTAAAGGCCTGCGATGATGGGCCGTTTGAGAATGCTATCTACTGCCAGCACTGGCCGCTCACAGATGCAATGAAGTAATCTAAATGCATTCGGCTCGTGATGCACTACACTTTGAGCAGGCCTTTCAGGAGGCTTATAGAAATGTCGGTTGTGTCAGAATGATCAATAACCCTATTAGCTAAGCCAAAAGAGCTCTGCAAAGATGGCAGACCTCGCCTTGAGCACATGTGAAGATTCCGGCAAAAAAAGAAATAAATAAAGTTTACTGGGAGGTTTCACGGAAATGCCAGTCCTATTTCGACCAGCCAGTCCTATCTTGAATGCGGGCTTACAATTCCACCGAGACTTGGTGAGAGAATGGATAAAATATGGATTGTTTGATCTTTTACAAGACACATATAACACATATTATGAGATAATGAGAAAGCTACTGCCACTTGTCCCTTGTTTTCAAGTGTTTCTAACTTTTCTACTTTTTTTCTCTTGTACTTCCTTAGACTAACTGTCCACTTTCTAGTTAGCTGTGATTGTGTTCTCTTCTCTTGCTGTCACTTTTCTGTCTGTGTTTTGGTTATTAGTGTCCTTGCAGTCATGAGCGCTGTTGGCTTCTCTTGCTTTATTTCCTTTCTCACACTTTATGTCCCTTTGTTATCTGTTGTTCTCTGATACTCATTTCTGACTTATCTCCATCTGTATGTCGTCTTAATTATCTGAGCTCACCTCTTACCTTCTCTTGGATTTTACTTGTAGTCCTTTTGGTTTGCTTTCTCTTTGGAAGATTTTCATGCTACGGTTTCTCATCATCTGTCCCTTTCAATACAGAAGTCATGCTGAAGTTATCTCTGAAAAAGTAATATTTGCAACAGCCTCTTTTTAGTATATGTTTTATCTTTTATTTGTTTATTCTGAGATTGTCTAGTGTGGTGTTCTGTTTATATAAAGGTTTTCCCTTTTCGGGAGATTTTTATCTTTACAATTGTCATCAAAAAGCGTATATATTTTTTAATAAAATCGCATGCTTCTTTACAATCAGCTAGAATATAGAAGTTAATCAGTCAACACATAGAATAAATAAATACATAAATAAATAAGTTTTAAGCAACACTCCTTACACACCCTTTTAATGTTTCATTTTCATTGTCCAAAAAACATACTAAATTACTTATTGCCAAACCAACTAAAGGACAAAAACTGTGAATATTTTAAATACCTTAAAAAGCTTTTTATGAACATCTGGTATTGTTGTAATCCATTGCCCAAAACACACCAATGACATACTAGTGACAACATGCAACATTTGAAAATATTCAGCGGGACCCAGAGATATGAATACTTCGAGTTCCGAAATGTTCGTGATACGAAATGTCTCGCGGGAAATTTTTTGCTTCGGGATGCAAAGAAAAAAATTGAGATACGAACAACTACAAGCTTTTCTGCTGTATTTTCCGCTTGTTTATATGACGTCGCGTAGCGCTTCTGGGCTCTTGCACTCCTATCTCCCAGTGCAAAAAGACTCTGTTGTGCTTCAAAACACTTTAACACAGCGAAACATTATGGTTTACCAATAATGTGCTATAACAAATGTTAGAGTCAAGGTGTCGTAAAAGACATAACGTTTATAACCTGGAAAGTGCTGTTCTGTAGCGCAAGTAAGAGAAACTCTGTGACTTTCTCTCAGAAGCGTCTCTCCATCTGTCTGTGCTCATGCTTGAAACTGTGTTTGTGTTAGTAATTTGTGAAAGGCTAACTTTCATACGTGGTGCCGTAATGTTTCCTCCATCCGTTCCACCTCCTCCGACATATCGCTTCACTCAAAGGTTTCACATTTGTGAACATATTACTTATTTTGCTTGTGTTTTATTCTGTTTTATTATCATTTATTACATTAACAATGTGTAGATTTAAGGATTGAAGACCCCATTACTTGATGGACACTTTCAGGAAACCAAGATTTCTCAGCATTTCAAACCATGGCACTGGAGACATGACCAGTGTGTTATCTCTTGTACACATGCATCTATGGAGCATTCAACCAGTGACAACCACACAGAGATAAGCATGAGGCACTCGCCCTGACGCATTCTTTACATAAGCCATAATGTACTGAAATGACCAAAACAGAATCTTTTCAGAGTCTAAAACACAGTCCTGCATCACCTAAACCACTGAGGGGGCACTATCTTTCATGTCCAGCTCCATCTTTGACAGCAAACCGCAGCTGGGGATACATCATTTTTAAATGTTATTCCTTTTCAGCGTATCTCATGCAATCTCAGTGCCCTCTCTCTCTCTCTCTCTCTCGTGTAATTAACATGGTCAATGCCTGGACTCCTTGTGGGCTTATCTGGTGTCTCTGGGGGCACCAAGACACCTTTACGCTTAGGTTTATTTGTAAAGGAAACAAATTAATCTCCAGAGACTCTGGATGACACATTGAATGCATATCTAGACTTGTGAGGTGGATGCAAAAAAAGTGTAAATTATGTTAAATTATATACAATTAAAGACAATACAGGAACTAAATATAATAAAACTCAAAGTGAGAGGACGAGTTTATTGTACACATGATAGAATGTTAACAAAATAACAGTGGTAGTATTAGTTACAGTATTTGTACTGGTTGTGGCAGTGGTGGCAATAGTAGTAGTAGTGGTAGTAGTAGTTATGGTGGCAATAGCATTATGATGATGGGGAATACTTTACTGTGGCTCAATTGGTAGAGTATACCACTAACAACGCTAAGGTTATGGGTTCACATCCCAGGGAAAGCAAGAACTGACAAAAATGTGTTCGTTCATTCAAATGTAAGTCGCTTTGAAGTCTGCCAAATGTATAAATGTAAATGTATTAATAGTAGCTAGCAAAAGTAGTAGCAGACATACTAGCAAGAGTTTTAGTATTAATGGTGATGTGAAGAGCATTCGTAGAAGTATATAGATATAGAAGTAGAAGTAGTAGAAAAAGCATCAGTCAACCAGTATGATTAATTATACTAATGGTTCCAGTAGAAGAAGTAGAAGCCTTAGTGATGGATGTATAGCAGTAGTAGAGTTAGCAGTTGTGAACAGTAGTAGCAGAAGTTTTAGTAGACATTGTAGTAAAAGTAATTATAGCATTTGGGGTCAACTATATGAAAGCATGGGGTCATTTTGCCTTGCATCAACAGTTCAGGCTAGTGGGGGTGGAGGTGTTTTGGTGTGGGAGAAATTTTCTTGGCACACTTTGGGCCCATTAATACCAATTGAGCATCGTTTCAACACCACAGTCTACCTGAGTTTTAATGCTGACCACGTCCTTTCCTAAAAGACCACACTATGCTCATATTCACTATACTCAAATAGCCTCCACAGTCACCAGCTCTGAATCCAAAAGACCACTGGGGTGTGGTGGAACGGGAGAATAAGATCATGGATGTGCAGCCAACAAAGGTGCAGGAAATTATTCTATCATGACGATATGGCCCTTGTTGAATCAATGGCACAAAATATTTAGGCAGTTCTGAGGGCAAAAAGAGTCCAACCCAGTACTAACAAGGTGTACCTAATAAAGTGGCCGGTGAGTGTAACCTCTTAAATTATTATTATTTATTAGATATTTAAAGACAAAAAGTGTGTTTCTACAAATTTCACTGTTTAAAGGTTAATTTACATATTTTAATTATTTCTTTTTTTAGATGCATGCTGTTACATTATGAGAAAAACATGCACCTAAATGGTAAACTTGCCCTTATGAGTTTTAAGCTAGTACTCAAGAGCTCCAGCTATATCTCTGTTAGATAACCGGGCCATCAGAAATCAACTTTACTATTTATCAGCTTTTTTTAGGTGAGTATGCACCATTGCGTTTGAGAATGAACTGCAGAAAACATCCTGGACAGAAATGGTAGAAATCGTTGCTTCATTATTCGCTCATTTAAATGAAGACAAAAATTGCTACAGACGACAAAATCAGATGAATATGCCGCTCAATATATGGTCGAAGCAGCATGTAGTTAGGTCTTTGGTTACCTCGAAGACCAACTAACTCTATTATGAAACCTAGAGTGATTTAAATGAGAAAAGCAACAAAACCATTACATGCATCTCACTGGGAAGTGTTAGTGACGAGGTAGCTGTCAAAGTAGCAAGGAATAGTACTGGTAGAAATAACAGTGGTAGTATTTTGTTGGCATTATGTTTAAAATACATTATATTTATTGTGGTTAAACATCTGTCATTTTGATTAAAACAGGGCAACGTGGAACCGGAGTCACAAGTAGAAAAAAAAAAACAGAAAAAGGAATAAAACATTCTGGGTTCAAAGATAGGCTGATAAAAATATCAGATTAATGCCACAGTCAATAAAGTCACTCTGCTCTTGTAAACGTGTCATTAAACTTTCATGATTTGTGAAAAATGGCTGCAGTAAATCTAGAGTGCAACAGAGAAGGTAAACATTGTAAAAACATCATGCAGTGCACGAATAAACAGAGTGGAATCAGAGACAAATACATCTTTAAAACCACTTCACAAAACACAGACATTTTTGGCAATCCCGTCTGAAGAATTATACATGCTGATGCTCTTTTACTTCACTGTGTTTAATTGCTTCACTGATAAACTGTTTAGATGAAATGATCTGCCAAAGGAATATTCATAAACAACAAATAACTGCATACAGTTTTTGTGTTCTTTGTAAATATTTATCAAACCTCCACATTATTGTATAGAGCAACAGTTATATACTATAGTCTAATATACAGCATTCTCATAGTTTGGAGCAGGACTCCAGATGGTCCACATGGTGTCCTACACACAAGGTCGGGTTGCACTGATTGACTGAAGACAGCTGTCTGCCTCTTATTTACCTCAAGGGACACAAACACAAGCACGGATTCACTTTCAGGCCTCACAGTCATCCTGGTCTTGAGAGGAGAGGTCATATTGGCCGTCAGTGTGTCCGCGGTGTACAAATCACCATCAGCAGTCTAATAAGCACATAAACATTCAGACAAGTGTCTGAATCGCAATATGAAGAGCTAGACCTAAACTCGAAGGTCATTCATGAGGGTTTCTTCAATTACATGGACTCTTTTGTGAGTGCATCATGCAATTAACTCAGGTACAAATTAGTAAAGCTCATATGTGAGCCTCCCACTGAATATGTGAAACTGGATTAGACAAATACTGTTCATGGAAGAGTGGTTTGCTTTTTTCACAGTTAAAAGTCTGTAAAACAAAAAGCACAAACAGAATATTTCTATCCATTTTCATCCGCTATCTCTCTGGATGTGCAGAGAACCCCAGATTTCCCTCGCTCCTCCAATTCCCTTTAGCAGATGTCTCCTAGTCAGCTCAGGGTACCTTCACACCTTTAGTTCGTTTATATTTGGTCCAGACCAAGAGGAATTCATTGTATGTGTTTTCTTGACTGCACAAAAAAGTAAAAAACGTCTGGGACAACACAATCAAAATGGACTTGACTGCTTGGTTTGACCCATGGCATCTTTTGCTATATGATTTGTTTTAATCGCTTATGATGCACCTTTAAAATGACGTTTAAACTTCATACTACTCCAACAACCTGCCATGATAAACATGATAAACAGACACATGCCAACCCATAATGCCACATGGAAACTAGTATGGTGGTTGTATTCGTTCTTGTCGTTTTCATTTGCCTTTAGTTCAGATCAGAGTTCAATCATGTTCTCACCACAGACTAACCACTGTAGAGTTTGTTTGGATTCTACCTCTTCGAGGAGGTCTCAAACTGCTTTTTAGTTTACTTTTATCTTTGTTATTGCTTTCTAACCTGCAAAAATGAACTGAACTAAAAGGGAAAAAGTATGAATCGATTTAAACAAGTCCTGTGTGAAAGGACCCTTAGAGACATAGTCTATTCAGTATGCCATGGCTCTTCTAGGGAGTCCTTAACTTCTAAACACCTGCCTAAGTAGGCATCGAGTAGTCATTGGAAACACATTCCTGAGCCACCACAACTGGCTCCTCTTGATAGCAGCTCCAATATATTGACCGCCTGATATTCTTGGATATCAGTCGAGATTCTAAGCTTAAGACCACACATGACAGGTGGAACATCGATTTGCCAATAAAACAAGGAAAGACCTCACAATGTCCTGCTTTGCAGTGTAGTGGCTAGCGCACAGGACTCATACACATGATGGGCACATCGTCTTTCCTATCCCACCCCACTCTCTCTCCTCTGCTCTATCTGTTTGAAAATCATTCAAAGCTACGGTAGCCATAAAAATTTTTTCTTAAAAACATAAATAAAAAAAAGACCTCACATTGTTTTAGATATTATACATGATAAAATTAATTAAACAAAACCCAAAACCCTAAAAAAACTAAATTCAGTAAAAATTTAACACAGAAAGCATTGTAGCGAGAATATATTTGAATGAAATAATACACCAAATTTGTGACTTACACAAAGTAAATTAATAAAATACCAACAAAATTAAACACAATCTCCCTCGGAATCAAACTGATTACTTAATTGACAATGTATTGGTCTGACTACTTTATTCAGGATGTTTACCATAGAAACACAACTGCACAGCATCTTAAAGAAACCAAAATAAATCACCCAGTAAGACACATGATGTACATTTACTGTGGAAACACTACTCTGTTCTGATTCTCGACTTCAAAGAAAATCATTCTATTCTCTTATTAAGAGCAAGCTGGGAGCCTTAAGGAGTCTTGTTGTGCTCCTGTGTTTCCTGCTCAGTATCCGAACTCTGCAGCTGTGAAAAGTGATTGCGTTCTGTACAGATCTAGTTATCTCTGCTTCAGTGGCTAAACTTCCAACACCTCTCTCTCTCCCACACCTCTCTCTGTCAGCACAGACGTCCACAGAGAGACCGAGCTGCCAATCAGAATGCAGCATCTGCCCTACAGCTTCAGGTACCATCCAGGTCTAGTGCGCAGTTGATGAAACTCAATAAAATTGATCCAGAATAAATGAAGTGGGGTAAGCAGCCAGAGAACAGGGCTCAATCTGCTCACCTGTGACAGTTATAACCTGACACATCTGTCGCTAGCTGCATCTTCTAGTTATTTTCATCGTGCTAGTGTTTCCTCTCGATAAGCTACCAATTAAAAGTTTTATGAAACTAGCAAAAACGTAAACCAAAGCATGAAACCATAAACATCATTGCAAATGTTTCAAGGGGACCCCAAACATTTGTGAGCAATGTTTTAGGATGGACTTGGTTATCACTGAGTCATAACCAAGGGTGTGGCCTGGACTCAAGGTCAGTGTGGGGGAATAAAAATCCACATCTTCCTAATTGAAAATCTACAGTAACTCAATACCAGCTAAGAATAATCATAAAAAAATACAAAAAAAAAACCCACTAGACTTTTTTTAAACCAGGGTCACCAACATTATTTCTCCATGAACTTGTATCCATTCTCCACTACTTCCATTTTTCCAAATGGAATACTACAAAAACAACAAATAGAACTAAATTGAACAAGTCTTTGAACACAAAAGGTAGCAAATAGAAGTGTAATGAATAGTATAACGAGTCTTAACATCCGGCTGTATGCTTGAAAGATGGCACACAAGCAGATGCTCATTATCGCCAAATCAACCCAGAGTTGAAGCAGAGGTTAAACACTCTTCGGCTTGCTTGTAAAGGACAAAAACAGTCAACAGGGGTCAGCTGATCCTGAAACCACTCTCATTATACTGGATTTCCTCGGCGCCGATTAGCTACTGGTTTTGCACAGCCTTAATACGAGTCACATTTAAAAGGTCA